GTGAAAATGTTTTTAATAAAAAAAACATTTGTGGTTTTGGTGCTGGAAGGTTTAGAAAATTGTGAACAGAAAATAGTTTCTTGCAAAGAACACGTGATTTATCTAAATGGTGAAGTTTAAAACTTCAATGCTTTTTTTCTAATAATTTCTTCTTTTTTTTCCAGAGCAAAACTAACGAAAAATCAAGCGGAGTTTATGATCAAGCAATGTCCTAAAGCCGAGATAACTCCTACCTTGCAAAAAGCTATCTGCAATTTGAAGAAGTTGGATTTCTCTGACGCAAGAGTATCAGACCTACTGAAAATAGATGTGGATGACGTACGTTCAGTGAAATGTTAGACTTACTACAGGCTAGTACCAGGTTCCTCGATACCTCTTTGTAAGCAGAGGACTGGGGTTGATTGTTTTGTTATCGCCTGTGATAATAAAAAACGTGAAGTGAAGTGAAGTGATTGTTATTGAGGTGTGACTTAACTTTTTTTGTGTGTGTTTTTTTTTTTGTTTGTTTGTTTTCGCATTCATTATTATCTTTTCCATTTTTGGAGAGCTTTTTTTTCTTTCCCTCCCTCTTTCCATCGTGAAACAACCTCTGGGTTGATAAATTGAGTCAGGGCATGGCTAACTCACAGATCAAACCCTGAAACAACCTCTGGTCTGATCTWAGTCAGGGCATGGCTAACTCACAGATCAAACCCTGAAACAACCTCTGGTCTGATGTAAGTCAAGGCACGGCTAACTCACAGATCAAACCCTGAAACAACCTCTGGGNACTCACAGATCAAACCCTGAAACAACCTCTGGTCTGATGTAAGTCAAGGCACGGCTAACTCACAGATCAAACCCTGAAACAACCTCTGGGCTGATGTAAGTCAAGGCACGGCTAACTCACAGATCAAACCCTGAAACAACCTCTGGGCTGATGTAAGTCAAGGCACGGCTAATTCACAGATCAAACCCTGAAACAACCTCTTGTCTAATCTAAGTCAGGGCATGGCTAACTCACAGATCAAACCCTAAAACAACCTCTGGGCTGATGTAAGTCAAGGCACGGTTAACTCACATATTGAACCCTGAAACAACCTCTTGTCTAATCTAAGTCAGGGCATGGCTATCTCACAGATCAAACCCTGAAACAACCTCTGGGCTGATCTAAGTCAGGGCATGGCTAACTCACAGATCAAACACTAAGACAATCTCTGGACTGATCTAAGTCAGCTGACTAAGTAAATCGAATTCGAACTTATTGTGTTGGGTTTTACAGAGGGAGGAAACTCAGAAAGCAGAGAGAAAAAAAACAAATTAGGATAACCTACGTTCAAGGTACCTGTCAAATAAAAGCTAATAATCTATTGACACAGTCACTGTTTGGATCAGAAGTTATTCTTACTTACTGAACCCTTTGCATTTAAAATGCCCCAAAACTGTCAATCAATGTCAGTCACCTGCAATACACCATTTATAAGCTGTATTGACATATCGTTTTGTGAGAGATATAATTATAATTACTGATGACACAGAAGCCACTGAAGTGCTACTAAACTGCCAATCAATATCAAGCACCTGCAATGCACCAGCTAATAATAAAGCAGTATTGACATATCGTCTTATGAGATATATGACTCCTGATAACCAAGAACCTATTAAAGTGTCACCAAACTGCCAATCAATGTCAAACCTCATAAATTATTCACACATTTTTGCATGCACTCTGGCACCGTGTGTCGGTGCCTTAATCGGATAACAATAATGCTGGGAGTGGTAGAGTTTAAGGCGCGGTAGAGTATATTTCAGGGTAAATTATTGTACTCATTATCGAGGAATACAGCGGTATTTTACGAACTCTAAGAAGGTCTATCTATATGTTGTTTTTTGTTTCTTGATCTATCGGTTTTTATTGCTTGCCTCAATTTTTGAGGTGCATGTTACGTTATAGCCAGCCCTATCACAAAGCTTTTTTTCATTAGCTTCTTTTGTTATATCAACAAATATGGCGACTGTTTCATTGTGATTTATATTTCAAGGGATTTTGAGTCATGTGGTTGCTCCGCAAGAATTTGAAAGAAAAGACGTCAAACCTTTTCAGACTTTCAATTTAATTTTTGGAAAAAAAAAACAATTGTTCAGAATGAACTGAAATTTTTAGTTTTGTGGCCCGTCAAGTTGGATGCGCACGCAACCTTGAGAAAATGGTCTATATAGATAAACTAAATTATCTTGATACTTACGACGAGAGACAATTACATATCATATTAATTTCACACATGTTTAATATACAGTCAGTTCAAAAAACGTTGTCGTCGACCGGCTCAAGCCTACGCGACTGGACCGTAAGGAATATGGGTGAAAATCAATGAAGCGGTTAAATATTCGTTCTAAATTAATTGTTCCCGCTAGTAGCAAAGATAATAATGGCGAAAAACAATCCATTAAATGCATGTCTTCGGGTTTAGGGAAAGAAAAACAAAGTAGTTATGATTCAGTTCACAATTTACAAAAATATGAAGGCACTAAAAAACGTCTCCTTCAACACTTCCCGCTCGCCTACGAAGGTTCATGCTGTAAACCAGGCATAACTAGTCAGATAAAATTACTGCAGTCAACTCGGCTTCAATGATTGCTACCCAGAGTTCCTATCGGTTCAGTCGCGTAGGCTTGAGATGGTTGACGACAACGTTTTTTGAATTGACTGTATATAACTTCTATGTTTTGAAACCGGCAATTATTTTGCAATTGAGTGTATATCACTGCATCTCAAATTTGCATCTCACTGTACAGTCGTTTACACCTAAGTTTGAACATACGAAACTGAAACATATTCTAATTGGTCGCCGATACAAAGAAGTTAGTCACGTGCATGTGCACGTTTGGCTCGCGGCACTTTTGAAACCAGCCAGCCGCGATTTGATTTCAAAAGAGCCGCGCGCCAAACGTGCACATGCACGTGACTAACTTCTTTGTATCGGCGACCAATTAGAATATGTTTCAGTTTCGTGTGTTCACATTTAGGTGCAAGCGACTGTACAAGCATGATTCTAATTACGCACTGCGTCTAATAATAGCATTTTTTATTGTCATATTCGGTTTAATTAAAGGGGAAAGGGTGGTTTATCTCAAGCATTATTATATGCATATCGCTTCATGAATTCTAGCACTTGACTTCCTTCACATCATTGACGTCCAGTTTGAGTATCTTGGCAATTTTTTCATTTGTCATCATCTTCCTCAGTTTGCAAATGACTGCTATCATTTTAGGCGGCATGCCTTGTTTTGGGCAATTTGCAATCATTTGTTTTACATCTTCAGGGCTCAGATTCGTCCTATCAAACAAATGATAAATAAGTAAATGAAGTTACGAACGACATGTCTGCTCTGCTCTGCTCTGCTCTGCTCTGCTCTCCTGTCCTCCCGTTTCCCGCACTCTCCGACCTTATCATATCTAATTTTTTTTCCTGAGCAAGTGTAAGGGGCGGGAGCAGTTGACAATTATTGGACTCTAGAAATAAGACATACTTTTTTGCAACATCTTCTACTGAAAATCCACTACTGTAAAGTTGACAGCAATATTCCTTCTTCATCTTAGAGTTGAGCACACAGTTGGGGTTAAATTTCTTTACTTTTGCTATTTTGGGCAGGTTATTTTTGATGGCACTTTTGCTGATGTGGACGATTCCCATTCCCCTTTCGCATTGGCTGGCATCAATATCCAGCATTGCAACACCTTGATCGTAGAGATGACTGATATCGGCAATACCTTTGCTGCATTCTGTTATCACATAGTTGATTAGCTGCATCTTGGTAATGTAGCAGTTTATAGTGACATCCGTTTGGCGTATTATCTAGGTATAAGTTACAATTGTTATTGTAATAAATTAGTTAGCTTGGTCTTGGTAATGAAGCAATTATAGTGAACCGTGATGGGCGTATTACACCTGTTTTTTCTTATTTCTTTATATCTATTTATAGTGAGCTATGTTGTTAAAATTGTTATTACAATATGGTCTAAATTTTCCTACTCTACTCACTGTTGTCAAGTCTTCAACCGCATTATACGTCATCTCCTCTGGCGTATTTTTGTCATTTGTCATTTTCAGAAAATGCTCTATCTGCACCGACATTAGATCAATCTTTGGATTTGTCATCGAAATGTCCTTCAACATCTGATTGATGTGACTCAAATCGTTACCAAGAGGTTTACTTGTCAAATGGCTTTTCATCAGGGCCCATGCCTAGAAGAAAAAACAAAACAAAACAAACAAAAAAACAAAACAAAAAACAAAAACAAAAAACAAACAAACAAA